ATCCCCGACCTCCGGTACTTCCGACGCGCCCTAAAAAGTTGGCTTTTCCAGCAAACCAGCCTGGCCTAAACAAAACAAAATAAATTATTGGCCATTGTTAATTTTAATTCAATTTTTTAAAAAAATGTTATTGTCAATTCTTATTGAGTTTGTTTGGGTTATTCTATTATTATTTTTTTAACTTTTGTATTATGTGTTTCTTTTAATGTTGTATGCCGCCCTGAGTCCTTGGGAGAAGGGTGGCGTATAAATCTAATAAACCAACCAAACCAAACCAACAGTAGAATGTTTCCTTCCTGCCTTCCTTACAGGATTAGCCCTGGAAAGTGGGAAAAAACAAAATGAGATTTCTTCCAACAACTGGTTCTACGAACTGCTTAGAAAGTTACCAACCGGTTCTCCCAAATAGGTGCGAACTGTCTGAATCCCACCACTGGTGGGCCCTCAACAGAAATGCATCAGACTCTAGGTGGAGACATCCCTTGGCAACAGAGCAAGTCTCATAAATTTAAACTGCACTGCTTCTAATGCATATGTATCCTTATACGTCCAACACTGTGTACGATACTTAGTACTTTGGGTTTTAACTGTTTACCTGCTGCGGGAAGATAGTTATAGCCACAGGAAATGATTATTTCATTCCAAGCTCTTTGGGTATGCAGGGTGAGGCTTGAGTAATAGTTCCCAGGAAAAGATTGTCAGCATATAGGAAAATGGAAATATCACATTCTCAATTGCGTCATATTTGTTAGCCATATTGTATTTCACTATTAGATTGTTAAGTCACCCATACAAAATTCAGTAAAATACCTTTACACAGGTAAACTCCTTCTTATTCTGAACTTTAACTAACCTTCAACTGTGTGTTCGTTGCTGTTTACATTTTCTTTTGTTGATTTTATTTGTTGTTCTTTTGTTGTATTTGCAGCTGTTAGTCACCTTGAAGCTTCAGCAGTAAAGATATACTTTCTAAAACCAATGAGAGTCTATAACTCTCGTACTTATTTCTCTTACCCAGCCAGCTTTGAGCTAGAGCCAAAGATTCCTGGGAAGAGCTAAATTCAGGTGGGTCCACACCNGGCAGGCCTGGGGCTGTTGATCTAGACTGATCTTCAGCCCCATTAAGATCGAGTGTATGTTGTGCCCTCCTTTAACTCATCTTTGTTTTGTATTTTAACTTTTTTAAATGCTTTTAAACTGTTTTTAATGTAAGCCGCCCGGAGTCCTTCGGGATTGGGCGGCATACAAATCTATTAAAATTGCAAATTGCAAATTGGATGTAATTTCACACATCTCAGAAGTAAACTACTGTTTGCTCAACATCTCAAATGCTAAGTTAATAATTCTGGATTTATAAAATTCTTTGTGAGCATTAAAATTCAATAGAAATGAAACTGTCCTGTCAGTTTTGGCTGAATGAGGATTTCACACTATTTTAGGAAACAGTTCTGAACCCTTAAAAAGCATAGCTGCCTTTAAAATGAAGACATTCCCACGACCCGATTTCTATTTAAGGGTTTTATTTCTATTTCAAGATCATAAATATGAGAGGTTAATATTACGAAGGGCTGTACGACGTTTTTCCATCTAGATGTGGCATCTTACGTCCAAATCACAATTTTAAAAAAATGCCACTCCAAAACTGGAAGGCCCTATTTGGTTTGTTTGAAAGTTCAGTGATGTTTTATAATGGGGGGGTGGGGGTAGGCAGTGTACATTCCACCAAGATTCTCACATCAAAAAAAAAAAAAAAGAACTAGGTTAAAAATAAGAAAATTGAGAGAGGGTATAAAAGGGATGTTTCCTATCCCCATAGGTTAAACCAAACTGAACAACAACAAGGACTGCAGTTGACAATGAAACTGTCTCAGGAAACTTGAGTCTCCGGTGACAAATAAGACTCTCAACCAAGACAGGATGCATATGACCCAGCCACTGAGCCAAAGGGATATGGGAGGCAAACAAGCTGGGCTCTATTGTCTTAGCATATGCTTTACGGACATTTATAGAATTTGAGCTCACAACGAAATCACTCCGTTGGTTGTTCCTTCATGCAGCAAAGATGGGGATTCCTCCGCAGGTATTTCAGTTGCTGCTGCTGTTTTTGGGACTGACAGTTGAGCCCAGTGAAGAGGTAGAGGCTTTGTGTTCTGGGACCACTTGCTACACACTGAATTTTGGACGGTTGAGTTGGATGGAAGCTCAGCAAAAGTGCAAGGACAACGGGGGTAACCTGATGACTCTGAAAAGCCACGAGGAGGCTCTGCTTGTCCCACAGCTGCTCGCCAAGAGGCCCGAAGGGGAAGAAGCTGGCACAGTTTCAGAGGTAAGATTGTGGATTGGGCTTCACCGAAAGAAAGGCAAATGCTACGAGAAACATCGGCCATTGAAGGGCTTCCGCTGGGTGACAGGTGGTGAGGACACCCACTACTCCAAATGGGGACAGGAACCCCGGGAAACATGCTTGTCAAATATGTGTGTGGCCCTTCAGGGGTCTCCCTTCTCATCTCAGGAACTGTTTTGGGTAGACAGCCTCTGTGGCAGTGCAACTGCTGGATTGTCAGGCTTCTTGTGCAAGTTCAGTTTCCAGGGAATGTGCCGTCCACTTGTACTGGCGGGGCCAGGCGTGGTCAGCTATAGCACTCCTTTTGGTGTAGCCACTGATTTCCTTGCCACTGTACCCTTTGGCTCCACAGCTGAAGTAGCATGTGAGCCCCTAGGAGAGGAGATACCTAACAGCTTCCTTGTGTGCAAGCCACAGCCGAACAGCAATGTCTCCGAATGGAGCAGCCCAGGCCCATTTTGTGCTTCGCTCACTTACGGTTGCAGCTACAACAATGGGGGTTGTGAACATGAGTGTCTGGGTCAAGGCAAGGGTTTGTTTCAATGTGCATGCCGCTCAGGATACCAACTTGGAAGGGATCATCTTTCCTGTGTCCCCGTGGACTACTGCAGCTCCAATCCATGTCAAGGACAGTGTAAACCATACCCCGGGGGCTTCCAATGCCTCTGTGCTTCCGGTTATATTTTGGCTGATGATGAGCGGAGCTGCGTAGATGTGAATGAGTGTGATGCGCCTCAAAGTCCTTGTGAACAAATCTGTGTGAATACCAAGGGGTCCTTCACATGTCATTGCAACCGAGGCTATATGCCTGCTGAGTCTGACCACCAGGCATGCCAGGACATTGATGAGTGTGCGAGGAACACACCATGTGACCAGATTTGTGTAAATACTCATGGCTCCTTCCACTGCTCTTGCCAGCCAGGATACCAGCTGGAAGGTATTAATAGCTCTTCTTGCCTTGATATGGACGAGTGTCAGGAAGACCTTTGCGAACATATGTGCATCAATCAAGTTGGCAGCTACCGGTGCTCTTGTAGAGACGGATGGATTTTGGCACCCAATGGGATCTCTTGTCTCACAGATCCAACAAGCAGCACCTCTTCACTATCCACTCAGGGAGGAGAATGGATTCCAACAGATATTCATCCTGCTTCGGAGTTACCAGCCCTGCTGACTGATCCTTCCCTTCAAGCTGAGCTAGTAGGAGTCTCTGCCACCCAGGATTCCACCCTTCAGCCACCTGTGGTCAGCAGTGCACTGGAGGACAAACCCCATATCAGAGATGAGAGGATAGATAAGAAAAGTCATGGCTCCAAGCAATTTTTATATCTTATCTTGGGCGGTGTGGGTGTTTTATTCCTGGTGTCTTTTGCCCTAGCTTGGGTCATCTACAAGAAAATAAAAGCCAAGGAAGTCAAGAAAAATTCTAAGACTGTCACGGATAATTACTCTTGGGTACCAGATCAAGGGGAGAGCAGGGCAGCAGGAAGCAAGGAGGGCTTGTAGTCAGTCATATGAGTTTGGTGTGGAAGGAAGGAAGGGGAAGTTAGGATTTATACCATTGAAATGTTTAAAAAGTGTACACTGATAACTTTTTCATGTAATGTTTTGCCAGAGGGCTGCTACAATCACACCTTCAAAACAGTGGTGGGTTTCCTTTTTTTTTTTATACTATCGGTTCGCTTGTGTGCATGCGTAGAAGCATCCGGGCGGGTGGGCGGAGCCTCCCGCCACCACCACTACTGGTTCATCCGATCAGGGCCAAACCAGGAGCGACTCACCTCTGCATCAAAACCACAAGGGTGAAACTAGAAAAAAAAAACTTTTAAGAGTAACTCTTATCAAGATTTGTATCTCTGACAACAGTGACATGTTTGACTTTGCAATCCACTTTACATACATGCTGGATGGTCAGTTGTTGTTAGCCTTCTCTTCTTGCCTAGGAAGCAAGTGGTAAATTTTTCTAAGCAGCACATCTCTATTTATGTCCATCCAGTTTTTATCTTACTACTCCAATGCCAACTTTGTAGCAATCCTTTAAAAAAAAAAATGACCAGAAGGAAAGAAGCATATTTCTTAAACTAATCCCAATAAAACCACTGTGATAACAGCACAGTCAAATCATCTTTCAAATTACTTTTGTTAGTTGTGAAGTCTTATATCCATTTTTGCCCTTGGGTTTAAATTAATTGTGGTCCCTATAAATCAGTTTGCTTGGAATCAGAGGAACTGAATTCACAGAACTGAAATTTAACTTCTCTTGAATTGGCTGTACTTGGTTCAGTAAAAAGGTACTGCGTGCCTGCTTAAGGCTTCAGATTCTGCTGTTTTGCTGCTCACCCAAAGCTTTGCTAAATGTTATCGCATTGTTTGTGGATGACTCAGTCTCACTGAAACAGAAACAGCTGCAGCGACCAATTGGAGCATCATTCATGCTTTCCGTATCATGGGGAGAAAAATATAAAGGCCTCTTATGATCCAACATATTTCATGACTGGGTGCTTGAAGGAAAACAGTTCTGGGGAATGTAGCAAAAATTTGAAACCATTTCAAAGTGAACTGTATTAAAACCGAACATTGTTCAATAAAGTGTGTTTTATACCTCATTCTGACAACATTTTAGAAAGATGTTACAGACATCTAGTTCTGGAATTTCTCTTTCAGGGCTAGTTCTTTAAAAATAACTTGGGTCAGTCTATGTTCAACCCCTGGGGATAACTGCTACAAAATGTTAAGAGGATTTCATTTTTTATATTCGATTTGATTTCAGTATGCAGAATATCTTCCTGGCATTTTCCCATAAGTGCAGTGTCCATAGGGAAGGTTGGTTTAGTAGCTTATCCAAATCACATTTTCTGCAGGGTTTTAAAAGTTTTATTTAGGCTGATAGTGATCTTGAATTCCATAAATCAGCCTTAGAACATATATTCACAAATATTTAATGAGATGAGGAAAATAAATTGTGAATATCTCCATAACTCCCTCCCCCTGCAAAAAGTATTTACAGAAGCTTTTGACATTAGAATAATTTTTAGGAGTGGCAATTTTAATACTTGATTTGCAGCTGTTGGCCAAGATTTCCCTCTACAAATCTCCTTCGTTTCTTCTATTGAAATATTTCTATAACTAATTGAATGTCTAATACACATTAATTTAAGCAAACAATTTGTAGTTTTTGCTATTAAATCTACATCAGTCTCCACTTTGATAATATTATTCAAGAATGGATTTGAAACAAAAATAACTATATTAGAAATGACACTGGTTTCTAGTAATAATTTCACTAAGACTAAATAAAATGGCTTAGTCTGGACTAAACCATGTATGTAAGATATTGAGTCCTACATTACCACAAACTAACTTAACATAATGAGTTTGCCACAACCTACCAGATACATCCTGTTCTTAGCATGCAGAGGAAAAAATTGTTCCTGAAGTTATCATCTTTGCTGAATCTATTGTTAAATCAAGAAAGCCATAGGAAAATTCAGAAGTCTGACTGCCTGGATATTTTAAATGGATTTTCTTATCTTCTTTTTGTACAGTTGCTGGAAAGAGAGGAAGACGAAAGGGTAATACTTGAAGTGCATAATACAACTAATAACAACTTAAATCCAGATTCCCTAATATAGGGCAATTGTGATACAAATGGACACATATCTACACTCAACCTAGATTTTGTTTTGGAACATACTGATTTATAATGATATTTTCATAACAAAAGAATGAAATCCACCACTCATTGGCCAATATTCTTTTGAAAGAATATTCTTGAAATATTCTTTTTTCCATTGTGGAAAAACTGAATATGTAGGTCTCCTCTAGATTGTCCCAGATATAACTAAAATATCAATATCCTACATAGAAATTTAGAGATCCTGAGATAGTCCTTTCCTTTTAAAAAGAGGGATTATATGTATGCAGTCTTGGAAAGCATATGAACCGTAATATTGGAGTCAGTATTCTATTATAAAATATGTAGATGTCCCTCCAGATTAATTTCCATTAAAAAATGTAGGCTCAAGGTTAGCAAGCTGCACCTATTTAGATATTGCTGGACTTCAAATCCCATAAACACCTTGGATGAATGGGGTGTGGGTGTGAAGGGACTCATAATTTGTAAAACAAATGCTGACGAAATTAAAACAGCCACACACCCAGCAGAAAGCAACGGCAACCTACTTAGGACATGGATACAGTCATCAGGACTATGAAATGAATGCTACATATACCATCCCTATCTTGCCTTATATATTGCTTTTGTCTATCAGTTTGTCTTGTCTATCTGCCTGCCTAGTTTTATCTGGTGTGGGAAATTTCATAGAAAATGGAATCTTAAAATGGTGTGATTAAATGTTTTTTTTTCCTCTCTTTCTTTTCCTCTCCTTTTTTACTTCTGGCTACTATAACGTGGTTTCAGGAAAAAAAAATCCAATAAAATTTCCCTTCTTTGAAAAGTCTATAACTCTCGTACTTATTTCTCTTACCCAGCCAGCTTTGAGCTAGAGCCAAAGATTCCTGGGAAGAGTTAAAATTCAGATGGGTCCACACCCTTCTCTTTAGTAAATGGTTATATTCAGGTACATGAACTAAAAAGAGAGAAAACCTCAAAGATTCTCTGCTTGTTTATTGTTTGCTTCCTTTTTAAAAAAAAATCGCAGCTTTATTATTTCAGAAACACAGGAAGTCCTCGGCTTACACCCCATTCGCTTAGTGACCATTTGAAGTTACAATAACGCTGAAAAAAATGACGTGACCATTTTTCACACTTACAACCATCCCCATAGTTACTTGACTCAGAATTTGGATGCTTGCAATTGACTCGTATTTATGACGGTTGCAGTGTTCTCGGGTCATGTGATCCCCTTTTGTGATCTTCTGACAAGCAAAGTCAATGAGGAAGGCAGATTCACTTAACAACGGTGTTACTCACTT